TCAAAGCCAGTATATTTCAAGGGAATCCATTCTAGGTGCTCAGATTTCTTTGCTTACATTATTTCATTATTTTTAGAAGTTCTGTGCTCTTGGGTCCTAAAATCCCTCCCACCAGCATGGCAACTAGAAGCGTGCAGGCAGGGAGTTGTGTCCTGAGGGCAGCCACTCTGCGAACGGTCCTGGGAGCTGAGTCTCTTGTGCCTGTGAGTGTCTGTGAGAGGGGAGAAAATGCCTTGAGCAGGAGGAAGAATCTCCCTCTGCGCCTCAAGGTTCTTCTAGCTGGTCTAAGCATCAAATTGACACAAAACAGAATAACAGGAGAAAATCAAGTTTAATTACATAGGTATGGGGAAGCCATAGACATGAGATTCCAAGGTCCTTCAGGCAAAATGAGGTCTGTATGTCATCCTCAACTAAGGAGAGGTGGTAGGCTCTGGGACTTCAAAGCAAAAGAAAGCAATTCACAGGACGATAAAAAGACTACATGTTTTTAAGTTAAGTGTTTGCTGGGACACCCAGAAACAATGGGACATAGTCAGGGATTTTAACAAGCAGCCTTTGCTAGCTCCTCGCAGCTACCTAGTTCATGATGGAATTATCTACGGTGGTGGCTCTCTTCCTGGAGCAGGCCCTCCATCTAAATTCTTTTAGGCAACTGGGGGAAGGTCAGAGTTTCTTCCTGGGTCTTCTGGGCCTGGATTGTCTTCAGCCTCACATAATCTGCCCGCCAAAGAGGCACATCTTGGGGTGGCCTGCCCTTGGCCCCAATAGCTGCAAGAGCAGGGACATCAAAATCATCTGAGCAAATTTCTTTATAATTTGCCCCAAAACCAGCCTCGCTTTGAGTACCACAGGGAATCAAGTAAGACACTGCCTGACACACTCCGGAGATGCACCAGCCTCTGTCCCCTCCTACACACACGGGCAGGGCCCACGGAATCCTCAGGACGGGTAGGCCATGCTCTGTCAGCCTTGAGCAGTTGCCCTCACCAGGTAGGTTCTATGCCTACCTCAAGTCAATTGTTCCCAAATCTGTTTATGCCAACCGTGCTTCGAACAACAATTCTGTAATTTTCTTCCAGCTTGATGGAGATATGACTGACATAAAAATGGGCTCTCTTTACATTGTACAATGTGACTGTTTTCCAAGGCGTACAGCAGCAGTGATTTTATACACTGTGAAATGCTTACCACAGTCAAGTTAATTAACACATGGTGACCTTTGTGTGTGTGTACATGCGCGGGTGTGTGTGTGGTGAGCACCCTTCAGATCTACTCTCTCAGCAAATTTCAAGTATGCAATGCTACCATTTTGTGCTTTTACGAAAAGTGATGTGTGATCATTTTCACAGCACTTAGAGGAGGACTGTGCCACTGAGGCATGGCGATCAAAGGTTCAGGAGGGCCAACAGCCCAACCACTCACTCACCCTCCCGTGGATCTGCCAGTCTCAAGGGAAGGTGGAGACAGAAGACACAGCCGGGTCTTCTCCCCTAAGCCCTCCATGGGGGAGCTGGCCCCATACCCTGGAACCAGAGGTTGCAAATCAGATTCAGAGCCCCGAATGTCTAAAACTGCATGAAATAATATGGTCTATTGGGATTTGCAAAAACAACTACAAAAAATAACTTTTCTTTGGCTTATAAATTAGACAAGAATATTTGTGTTTAATAAAATTACTAATTAATTCAGAGCTATCACTCAGAGGAGAAAGGTCTGTGTTTATATTTAAAATTCTGAAACAGGGAAATATTTAGGATGTCAATCCACAGCTCTAGCGAATCAATATTACTGAACATTTCAACAAGATTGCATAATGTTTCTAAAAGAGATCGGCATTAGGGCTTGTTTCCCCCCACCAGTAGGTATTAAATGTAAATATACATTAAAGCAATAAACAGTAGAAAGTGGCTCTGGGTTTAGTTTTATTTCACATGTATGTGACATAAGTGAGGCATGAAGTGACCCAACGCTATTTATTGTGGAAAAAGAAAACAACGTTGGTAGTGAAGGAGAACAAATTTTGCCACCCCAAGATATGCTTTTTTGTCAAAAGGATTGTTTTAAGCTGCTTATTTTTAAGAAACTGTAGACACAGGAGATGCTCTGAAAACCGAGACGTTCCCCTTTTGTAAGAGACATTCCCATTATAAGGGTGATCTCCTGTGTAGAAAATCTTATTAAAAGGTTCCAATTTATATCTGCATAACAACCTGACCCTTGTTTGTTGTACTCTTCCTAAAAACCTCCCATAAATGCCTCCCCTCTCTGAACGTCTTTTGTCTTTAGCTGGGATGGTATCAAAGGTGGTGGCTCGGGCCATCTGGGGAAATTATTCCGTTTGCCTGGCCCTCTCCCGTGTATACAGGAGGTACACAGGTTATTACACTCCTGTTTGTTTTTCTCCTGTTGCTCTGCCTTAATGTCAATTTAATTATTAGACCAGCCAAAGAACCTAGAAGGCAGACAGGAAAACTTTTCCACCCTGATAGTAGAAAGACTCTTTGGTATTTAAAAATGACTGTTAAAATACGAGTATGTCAGAGACATTTGGGGTTTAGATGCTCCAAGGGTAGTTACTTCCATCCCTTCCATTATTAAGGTACCCTCGAAATTAGAAACGGAAATGTTCTTTTAGGATGGTCACCTATTCTTGGGAAGTGTGGCGGAATTGTTACTTCCAAGATGTTTCCCTGTTCTTGGTACACTGCAGAGTCCTTTATGAACAAAGAATTATTCTCAATTCAGGCGGGACTGAGCTGCCTCAACTGAACCCCAGCATTATTTCCAAGATTCTGTATTCACTGGGGAGGATGGAATAAAATAATCAGGAGATGGGGCCCAGAGACCATCAGGGAAAGACAGTCTTGCTGTGTCCCACAGCTTTTTCTCCAATTTGTTTCTCTATCTTTTTCCAGCACTCCCACCACCTCTTCATGCCAGCGAATAGATGGTCCTGGAGAAGACGACTGTATGTTCATTCACTGGTTGAGTTACTTGGAATTGACATCCAGGCATCACAAAGCTGACTGTTCAGGTATTTGGATCAATTTTTTTACAGCCTGCTAAGAACAGTTGCCCATAAGAACCACTGATTCTGCCTCATTTTCCATACCATCATGTATAATAGGGCATAATGCACAGCATCTTGTTTACTTTTAAGCAACTCTGTATTGAACCAGCCACCGTTAGTCACTTTCAAGTTCTGATTTCCGGCTCTTGCACGTGGGTATTTAGGCTTACACAGGTCAGGGCAAATGTTCCCTTCCCGTGCAGACCAGCCTAAGGGGCACTACATGAGATGCTATCAGAATATAAAAACATGGCCCTGGCTTGCTCTCTTAATGACTGCTTTGAAATTGAGGCGATTCACTAATTCAACATTTATTGAGTGCCTACTGGGCACCAAGCCATGCACTAAGCTCTGGGGATGTTTCAGAAGGAATGCCAGGTAGCTACAGGATCTAACATAGATCACATTGTGTGTTTTATGCAAATTAATAATCTAGCTGGGAAAGAGACGCCGAAGCAAGTAAGAGTATTGGCACTGGTGGTCTGCCAGGCGTGCCCACAAAGAGCCAGGAGGAGGAAGGGACACTGGGACTGGGTCTCGGTAGAATGCATACACGTATCTTTCTGTGGACCTTTGTTTCCATTTCTTTGAATAATACCTAGGAGTGAAATAGCTGAGTCAAGGGGTAATTTTCTTAGAAACTGCCAAACGATTTCCCCTAAAGCTGATGTTACATTCCCACCTGCAAGTGTGAGTTCTATGAGTTCTATTTTCTGCACAGTCTCACCAACACTTGATACCGTCGGACTTTTAAATTTTACCCATTCTCGCGCATAGTGCTCTTAATTTACATTTTTCTAATAATTATTAGTTATATGTTATATATAGCTAGGAAATGATAGTTAATAAATTAATTATATAGCTATTAGATATGATATATATTAGTTATGCATTATGAGTCACATAGTTATTATATGTTGAACAACTTTTCATATGCTCATCAGCCTTTTGGATATCCTATTTTGCAAAGTGCCTGTTCAAATCTTTTGTCCATCTTTAAATTGGGGTTTCTGTCCTCTTTCATTGATTTGGAAACATTCTTTATGCATGCTGGTTACAAATCCTTTGTTGGAAACATGTATTGCAAATATCTTTCCGTGAAATGAATGTTCTTTTGCACCTGGTAAGGAAGCTTCAGGAATGCACCTGGGCAAGCACTGTTCATAAGGATAGAGTACATTCTATAGATTTTGCTTTACCACCTCTGCCTGCCCCAACATGCCTATTTGGGCCATAAATGAACCTAAAGTCTGATGTGGGATAACATGCTGAGTTTCAATCACAGGCTTGGTGGCTCTTCAGGCATGTACACAGTAAATGTTGAACACACATTTGTTGAATGAACTAATAATTGGGAAGAAAGTTTCTTTTTTAAAATGAAATTTACTTTAAACTAAGCTTCCTAAGAGGAAAAGTACCATTAGAGCAGACACATTCTTGAGATTACTTTTCAACTAAAGCATTCATTTATTTGTCCACTAAATAATTGAGGGCCTGCTAAGTACAGGGTACTTCTGTTAAACCCTGTAGGGGATATAAAGAAACATAAAAACAATGCTTTTCTTTGAATAGCAACTCATGATTCATAACGTGCTCTCAGAAGTTGTAACTGAACTTGAGGACTTGCTTCTCAAATTCTCTATTGCTTATTCATTCATTAAAAAAAAATCCATCATATGCCTACTGTGTGCCAGAACAAACATTTGGAACAAGACTGACAGTCAATAATAAATACGTGAATGGTGGAATCGCACCAGAACCATAATCTCTCTCTTCCTCCCACCACAGTAACCACCTGCCTTCATGATACCTATGAACTTTGGACAAACTTCTTTGTTTGCTTTAATTTTTTTTAAGTAAGTAATACCTTCACATGGTTTAAAAATTAAAATGGTCTAAGGAGTATATATTGAGAAGTCTTACTCACATCCATGCGTGGTCACCCAGTCCTCCAGCCCAATGCCTGACTCCGTTTATTAATTTCTTGTGTATCCTTCCAATGGTCCTGGATGGAAATAAGCACAAATATAAAGACATGCCCCTATTTCTTCTTCACTCTTACATAAGAGTTAACATGTTACATACCATTACATAAATGGGTGGAAGGTGGTTTCTGCACATTGGCCTCTGCTTTGTGTAGGTCTTCACAGCAGGCTAGGACCTGCTCAAGGCCCACACCATCAAATTCTTATACAACCGATTACTTTAAATATAAGCCCAAATAAGCATATTTTTAGCCATGTAGAGCCTGGCTGCTTTGTATACCTGGTAAAGCTGGGCCAGGCATTTGCTATCCATAGGTGAGATGAACTCTGAGCACACAAAAGCCCCCAGATGCTGTGCCCTTAGAGCTCTCTGACCCAGACACCTCCCCCTGCCCCACTGCCCAGGCCCTTGCTGCCACAGACATCACCTCAATGCACGAGCCCTCTCTCCAAGTCCCCTCTCCCCCAGGAGGTCCCTTGCTGATCAGTCCCTTCTGGGAGGTGGCCCCATGCTGCTACCTCCGGAAGCTCTCCTGCTCTGAGGGACTTTCCCTCCCACATAACCTGTTCAAGTGCAGCCCAAGCAAAGCTTGTTCCGTGCAATTTATTGTCATCTCATGGTCATGTCTTTTCCTTGATTAGCCCTGAAATCCTCAATCTCATCACAAATATGCTGCATTTTCATCTTGCCTTTTTTTTTTTTTAACTTAACAAAATATTCTGGGCAAAGTACCCTCACTCTATTATCTGGCTGCATAGTACTCCATTGTGCAGATGGGCCAAAGTGTATTAACCAGTCCCAAGCAGATAACACTTGTATTATTGCCAGTCTTTTGTTATTACAATATGCTGCAGTGAATAACCTTGTACATTCATCATTTTGTTTAGGATAAATTCCCAGAAGGTTGGTTGCTGGGTCAAAAGGTGAACCCATCTGTATTTTTCAAAAACATTGCTAAATTGCTCCTCTAGGCAACCACATGTAAGAGGGTTTGTTTTCCCACAGTCTCTGGTAGGTAAAAGTAAATAAGTATCTAATATTGCATTTCTCACGTTATAAATATTGTTGGCATAATATTTGTTAACATGTCTGTCCCTGCCATGGGATTGCACATCCTTGAAGTCTGGGGCCATTTCTTACCCATCTTTGTATCCTGTTGCTTGGCTAGCCAAGTTTCTCATACAAAATAGCTTCCTCCACCTCCCTACCCTGCAAAAAACATATTACTGAGCTGAGTTAATCAGCACTTCAGCCTAGAGATGTGCCCCCACTCAGGCCTTTCCGATGTGGAATGTGCTACCTAACATTCATACTCTTGCAAATATTCTCTGGAGGCTGGGCCTGCTTGGCCTACCCAAAGAGGCCAGAATTCTCTGAGAATGAACACATTGCCACCCAGCAGCCCTCAACCAATGGCTGAGGAGAGATGATGTTTAAACAGCCCATCAAGCATATCCCTTGAGGGCATACCTCACAGGTACATGGTGGTCTACTCTGAGAGATTCAACCGGATGAAGCTCCCACTGCCCAGAGTGGGAAGTGGCTGGATCACACACCCTTTATTGGCTTCCCTACCTTCCCCTTCCGGGCTCAGTCTCCAATCCATTATTGGAGTTCCCTTGAATCCCCTCCCAAATACACAACTTGCACTTTCTCTGGGTCTTTTTATGGGGGAACTGAAACAGAGACAGTAGCCTTTTTTTCCAAATAAAACAATCAAGGGCCTGAGAAAATGAGTGAAGTGCCCATGGCACATTAGTAAATGATGAAGCTATATCCTCTCGCTTCTAGAAACATGCTCTTTAGAACATGGCGTTTGTCATCATGAGGGATAAAAAAAACCATTGACACATGGAAAAACAGTATACGAAGAAGAAAGAATCTATATCTCAGAGACAGCACAAAGCTATATAAAATGAATGGCAAATAAGCAAAATGGTTCTCACCTACAGTGCTTACTTTCAAGTTGTTTTCAGTGCTTTTTGGGCACTGATTCATTGAACACAAAACCCTATAAGGCAGGTGCATTATTATCATCATCCCCCATTCATATCAACATCCCCCATTCATAAGGAAAATAAGACACAGAGTTTAAGTCATTTGCCTAAAGTCAAACTTGCCCAGATCTGACTTCTGGATTTGTGCTCATAACCAACAAGCTCCACTGCCTTTGCGGAAATGCCAGAGGAATTCTAGAAGTCACAGAGTACTGTTGGCTTTTGACAGCAGGGGTCTTGAAAAGAGAGCATGGGATTATACCTAATTAAAGACGAATTCTTCCTAGGGTCATCAGAGACCTCATTCGTGTGAGTGAGGATATTTTTCTGGAACAGAAACTTAATACCCAAATAAAAATGACTTAAACAACAGGGGTTTACTAATAAATCTCACAAAATAAGAAATCTGGAAGTAAGAGTTTGCAAACTTGGTTAACTCAGAAGTTAAATGACATCAAAGCAACCACAACTCACACATTTATTCTTTCTTTTCCATTCGATTTCACCTCCTTTGTGGTTGCCGGCATGGTCTCTGGAAGTCTGGCTCAGTTCTAAGCAGCAAGTATTAATGGGAAAGGGAAGGAGGAAACGTGTCCCTGGAATCTCCCAGAAGACATCCCCTTGGTCCCATTGGCCAGGATTGGGTCACATGATCTAGACACAGGGAAAGCTGAAAAAGTGTCTCTGGCATCCTCTGTCTCCGTCATGGAAAGCAGGTTGTGCTGGCAACAACAAAATGGACAGAGACTGGCAGGAGAAGGCAACCGATCATGATGCCACCTCACTTAAATCCTGCATTGAAGCCTTTTTTTCTGGCTTGCTGAAATTTGGAAAAGCCAGAACCCAACCGCTTTGCAAAGTCAGTCATGAGAAAACAATTTGAGACGCTGCCCAGGATCAGGGCTGGAGATGGCACCATTTGATGATGTTGTATTTCAGGGCAGGCCGTCAGACAGGCCGGAAACGAGGACCGGTAGTCTGTCCTATTCGGAACAGGGAGGCACCACATTGACCATATTTAGGAACCCTCAGGGACTGGCTACCAAATCCAGACCAGAGCCAGGAGAAGTGGAATTGCTGAACTCAGCCAATCAATGGTTGTTCAGTGAGTGTTTATTCTGCTTAGGGCAGTGTAGGAAGCACTGCAGGGGAGGAAGGATACCGAAATACCGGATGTGCACCTTGACTTCAAGAAGGACATAAAATATAACAGTCAATGTGAACTGAGCACTTACTGTCTACCAAGCCTGTTTAGAGCAATTGCATTGTTCTAGACACTAAAATGTACATGTAATCTTCATGGTAATCCTACGAGATAGGTCATATTTATTAGCCCCTTTTACCGATATGGAAATAGAGACCAGGAAGCAAATGGAGGCATGGAGAGTTGAAGTAATCCTGAGATTAAGATACTCAGTATTTCTTGAAAGATTTTATAAAGTAAAAACCCAATTAAAAATTGAAAACAATGGGGGTGGGAGGCTGGGTGAAACAGGTGAAGGGGGAAAACATCAGTGAGAGTGTTTGAAATCTGGATCTGGGCAATGGTTACATGAGTGTACACACATGTCAGAATTCATCAAGCTGTACACTAAGACTTCTGCATTTTATTCTATGTTCCTCAATATAAATTATCTCAAAAAAGGCTGAGTATATTAAATATTATATGACACTATAAAGATTGGGGCACATCTTCAAACTGACTTTTTAAGAGAGTGAGGCTCAACCCAAGACAGGTAGGCAGAAAAATCAGCCACCAGAATGACACAGCAGACAAGGGTCTGCCTGTTTCCACGACTATTGGGAGCTACAAACACAGGGCCTATTTCTCTAGTTACAAGGAACCTAGAAGGTCGTTGTACGCAAGGGGACAGTTTCACCTGATTCAAGGAGCCAGGACAGCGGTCAGGAGGCCAGAGACAACTTCAAAACATTCAAGAGTATAGCAAAGCCTGCTGCTCAGGCTCTAAGGACAATTCCCAGGATCTCAAGTTGACAGAACACGAAGGTCCAAACTAGCTTTCGGAGATGCTGAGAGGCCTCAGCCTTTAGATTTACAGCTGCATGTGAGTTCAGAGTGGAAGCACCAATAGGCCCTCCCAGTAGCATTTAACCTTTTCCTCCAAATCTAGGGGGACAGGTTCATCTGGGTTTGCCTGGGTGTCTCTGGGTGTCAGCACTGAAAGGTCCACACATGAAGAACCCTCTCAGTCCTGGGCAAATAAGAATGGCTGGTCACCCTTCAGATGATGGATGCACCCAATTGCGGTTGCCCTGGCAACATAACTAATGGGTAATGGAGAAGGAAAAGTTACATTTGAGAGAGGGACTTTGCCTCTCTCTCAATAATAAGCTCCCATAACAAAACCCACTGGAGACAGAATAAAAGTGCTTCTGTAAACCTTGGGTTTTCCCTCTGTTCATGTCATAGCATCCAAGCTGCCCAAAACGGTGACCACTTAGCTACATGCGGCCACTGAGCACTTGAAACATACAAGTCTGAATAGATATGCTAGGGAAAAAATCAACTGTAAAACAATGGCTTGATTCAAAGACTTACCAAATAAAACAAAAATTCAATGTTAACATTTCTTGTTAATATGCTTTATATTGATCGTATCATGAAATGATAGTATTCTGGATATATTAGTTTAAATATATTATTTAAAAAATTAACTTCATCCATTTCTTTTTACTTCTTTTAACGTGACTTTAAGATTTTTTAAATTATGTGTGTGGCTTATGTTGTGTTTCTATTGGGCAGAGCTCTTCCAGACAGGTAATTGTACGGAGAATGTCTCTATTAAGAGGGTTGTTGCTTGAGGCAGAAATGCTGCCCAGAACAGACAGAGCCAAGCTTTCCTGTGACTGCTGATTCCAGGCTAAGCTACAGTGCATATAAAATAACACTGCTGAGGTCATTGTTCTGAACTTACGGCCACAGGGGCTGCTAGCTCTCTGCACATAGTTTGAATTTTTTATGGCCAGGAGATACAAAATACATTTTTAAAAAGAGTAACTAATGCAATCCAAGTCTTTTTTTTTTTTTTACTTTTGAGTATTGAGCAATTTTTGGCTCTCCAAAGATGGTAGTGATGGTGATGCCTTATATTTGTATACATCTTTGTATTTTCAAAGTTCTTCCCAGTCTTTCTTTTGTTACTTCCATTGGAATGTGACTCTCTATCCCCATGAGGCAATCTGAGCTGTTGTTTTGTGCACATGTTATGGGGGAGAAGCTGTCCCAAGTGTGACTGATCCTGGGTAATGTTCTTGCGGCCTCACCTGGTGCTGTGATGGAGGCCAAGTCCGCCCACTCATGAAGGCTGGTCCGGCACATCGCCTCACAACTCAGCATCCACGTGGTGCTGGGAGCTTGAAATTAGCCATGGCGTGAGTATTGATACCACAGTAATTGGCAAATGCTACAAATCATGTTTGTTTATTTTGTTGTTTGTTTTTTTGTTCTCTGGAAAGCCAGTTATTAAAGAGCTTCAGGATTAGAGGACATGTTTTAGAAAACGTGAGCAGATACGTAAATTCTGAGTTCAAGAACTGAATTCTACAGAGGTAACTTTCTTTTAAAATGAAAAGAGTCATGCTACCTTCAGTTTTTACACTGTAAGGAAATGATGCTACTTGTTTACCCAGATAAGGCAAGGCCAAAATCATTTAAACCTGAGCCGGCCCGCCTCCAGGAAAGATGGAAATTGCCCTCCCAGCTCTAACGCAGTTGCTGCCTTCTGTCTGTCCCGTGGTTCTCCCTCCTCCCGCCCTCCACCCACCCCCTCCCTTTCTAGTCCTCTTTCTGTTTATGTTTTTCTGCCTTTGTGTATGTATCTTATAAGGAAGGAAAAATAACTTTCTGGGTTCTTAGCTGAGACAACCCCCCCATAATAAAAACATGGATAAGAGAATAGGAAGTCTAGTAACATATATACCTCATGCATACATAGGAGACACCTAGGGAAAAATGAGTAACTCCCCGAGGTGGCTTAGAATTCAGGCGTAAATACCATCTTGATAGGGAAAGGGGAGGAGGCACGTAGGCCTCATATGGGAGAAGAAATGATTTTGGGGAGAGATGAAGGGGCCCTTAGATGAACAGATGGGAGGTGTGATAGTGTGTGACTAAGTGTGTCTGGGTATGGGGTCGACTTCTAGTTTCCTCCTCTGTGACAAGAGTCGGTCTTCCCCCGTTGATGAAATTCCCTGGATGGGGATGGATGACAACTGAGTTCCTCGGTCTTTAGGCAGAGAAGGGGAGTTCAGAAGTTTCCCCCTGCAGGTGTTGCTTTCAAGTGCCTATAACTCAACATAGTCAATATCCCAAAGCAGCATATTTGGGGGCAGCATGTGCTGGACTCATACAGGCATATTTTGGGGCACCAATTTCTGCTGTGCTTCAGTCTATGTTATGTTATGCATACACAACGACACACACCATTTTTACTACATAGGTTGCTATGGGACAGAGCTAGAAATGCAAGAAACCAAATAACACTAGTGCAATGCCTTCATGCAAAGAAAGCTGGGGTAAAATGCTTCATTTTCTTCAATGGAAAAACAATCAAGCACCAGATTCCCTGGTGAGGGGAAATCTTTGAAACCGGAAAAGAAAGGAGACACTGGACATAAAACTCTATATATACCTAAAATGAAATCACTCCATTCATCTGCGGCTGTCTCATATCAAATCAAGCCCAGTTTTTTCTCAATTACTTCATTATTTCCCAACAAGAGAGCCAGATTAGATAATCACATATGAATTTCAGATTGTGCTTGCTAACTAAAGCCTGCTCTTGGCTGTCACTTGAAAAGAGCCGCTCTAAGACAAACTCTTTTAAATGAGTGCCTTTGGGGGGGTCACTTTCCTTTAACTCATCTCCTCCTGCCCCACACATCAATGAGCTAAGCAAAATGCTTACCAGATGGTTCTAACTCTGAACCTTGGTTATTTCTCAAGTTCACATAGTACAGAGACCAGAAATCTGTTGGAAAAAGAACCAAGAGCCGGAGGTCTCAAATTGTATGCTGTCAGTCAACCCATAAAAGTGTGGCTTAGTGTGTTTTATTACAATGCTCTTATTTAAAAAAAAAAAAAAGCTAACATTGAAAAATTAGGAAGTTTTCCATAAAAATATAGATTTGGGGGTTTCTTTAGGAATCAGAAGCTGTCACAATAGGCAGGTGGTCCCTCAAAGCAGGAGGAGTAAATAAAGTGACACTCATTTGTTACCTGCTTGCCCTGGAGACGTTTAAGGGTGCAACCTGCAATAGAACCAAAAAATGCATCTTATCACCCTAAACTGATAAGAGGCAAAGAAAAAAGTGAGCATCATGTGGCTCTTTGGATTCTCAAGACCTTCTATATTCAGTGGGCTGTGGTTCCCAGCAGGCCACTCTAGCCCAGGCACCATCCAGAATTATGGTTACAGCTCCACCACTCCTATCTGCGCTTCTGAAATCAAAAGGTTGTGCAAGCCAAAAGCTTTCTCATAACTCCTTTGGTGGCAATGCCTGATGCGAAGTAATGGGAGGCTGTTTAT